CCAAAACTGATTAAAAATATTATATGAGGTATCGAACTGCATTAAAAATCAACCTTTTTCATGTATTGAAAAGTAATGGTCTATAATTTGTATTCAACTGATTTTATTGCCAGTGAATAATAACTGTACTGCAGCCAACTCTGTGCCCTGTTTCTCTGAAAACCTCATGGGATATACAGAAGAGGAGTTTGTATCCTGCTGAAGACACACACACTTTGTATGATACTTCTTATTCTCCAGTTCTTACAGGGAGGCTTAACTTGGTTTCATTATGTATTTATTTTTCCATTGAAGGTTCCTTCAAACTGGTAAACACAAATGAAAGTGCACAGGTATCACAGAATCATAGAATGGTTTGGTTTGGAAGGGACCTTAAAGATCATCTAGAATCATGCCCCTTGCCATGGGTAGGGACTCCTTCCACTAGACCAGGCTGCTCAACCTGGCCTTGAACAATTCCAGGGATGGGGCATCCACGGTTTCTCTGGGCGACCTGTTCAAGTGCCTCGCCACTCTCACAGTGAAGAATTACTTTCTTATATCTAATCTAATCCCACCCTCTTTCAGCTTAAAGTCATTACCCCTTGTCCTATCACTACGTGCCCTTGTACAAAGTCTCTCCAGCTGTCTTGCCCTTTAGGCACTGGAAGATGCTAAAAGGTGTCCCCAGATCCTTCTCTTCTCCAGGTTGAACAGCCTCAACTCTCTCAGCAGAGTATAGAGGCAGTATTAGATATACTGATAGATTCTGGAAAGTACTATAAACTAAACATATGTGCACGGAAACAGAGGACTCAACTTGGATGCATTAGTAAGTGGATTTGTAAACCAGAAGATTTACAACAATATATTCTTATTCCCTCATTTTCTCTGTGGATCTTGAAATTGCCCAAAGTCACATGATGTTCAAATTAAAACTGAAACATCACACAGAAGTGCTCATCACTTCATGTGCCCCTACTCTGCAAGAGTTTGGGAAATGGTCACTTCTTTCCATTCACTTCTCTACTTGATCAGGCTCAATAGCTTCTCCCCTGCCCCTTGCCCCCTCCAATTTTTCCTCCTTTTAATCTGCTTCCCCTCTTTTCAACTTTTCTTCTTACAGCCTTCTGCAGCTTAGTTTTCAGTTCAGTTAGGCAGCTGCAGAACTTTTCTAGGTTAAGTTGAAAACCATAGGCTTTGGACCATGGTATCACTATGAACACATTTTAAGAGCTGAAAGTGAAAAAAAAAAACTGTGTAATGACAAAATTAGACACGCAGACAGAAAGTAAAGGTTTTATTATAAAAGTGGCCCAGAGGGTGGTGATCAGTAGTGCAAACTCCTGCTGGAGCCCAGTCCCCACAGCCAATACCAGGGCCAATACTGTTTAACACCTTCAGTAATTACATGTATGATGGAGCAGAGTGTACCCTCAGCATGTCTGGAGATGGTACAAAACTGGGAAGAGTGACTGATAGGACCTTCTGGTGAAGGTTGTGCTGCCTTCCAGAGGGACACTGGCAGGCTGAAGAAATGGGTTGACATCAACTTCAAGAAGTTCAACAAGGGAAAACATAAGTTCCTGAATAGGGGAGGAATAACCCCAGCACCAGTACAGGCCAGGGGCTGACTGGCTGGACATGAACTCTTCAGCAAAGGACCTGGGGGTTCTGGTGGACAACAAGGTGACCAGGAGCCAGAAACACCTCACAGTGCTGCCTACACTAACCCCTAGAGCACACTAACTGCCCTACCTAGCCCATTGCAGCCACTCACTCTTTATTTTAGCAGACAAAAAGCTTCATTTCACCATCGGCATTCCAGATACCCTACCCCCAAGCTCCCTGCCCCTGTCCTTCTTCCTATATTCTCCTGGCTGATCTTAGGCAGCTTTCTGCCACTCTCATTTCTGTCTCCATGTAGCTTCCAGGCGCTGCTGCAGCCTACTTGTCAGCCTGCTTTCCCTCATGATCATCCTATATGGCATTGCTACTCTTTCCACAGCCACTACGGATACAAGGTCTTTCCTGGTCAACACCTTAGCCTCACCCTGAAAAACAGAAGCCTCATCTTGCCTGCAAATATTCACAGGATCATGACAGCTTTTGTGCTGAAAGCAGCTTAAAACTTCTCTCCCTAATAGAGGATGGTGAACATTTGAAGAAAATTTATGAGTTTAAAAGCAGAAATTTAAGAGGATGATGGATAAAGCAACACCAACTGAAAAAACTTTCAGTTTTGGTCAATGTATGAGTCAGCAGTGCCCCAGCAGCCAGGAGGGTCAGTCATGTCCTGGGGAGCATCAGGCAAAGCTGGTTGAGGGAAGTGATTGCCCTGCTCTGCTCTGCACTGGTGCAGCCTCATCTTGAATATTGTGGCAGTTTTAGGTGCCACAATATAAGAAAGACATTAATCTATTAGAGAGTGTCCGAAGGAGGGCAGTGAAGATGGTGAAGGGTCTTGAGGGGAAGCCGTATGAGGAGCAGCTGAAGTCACTTGGTCTGTTCATCCTGGAGAAGAGGAGACTGAGGGGAGACTTCATTGCAGTCTACAACTTTCTTGTGAGGGGAAGAGAGGGGGCAGACACTGATCTCTTCTCTGTGGTGGCCGGTGACAGGACCCAAGGGGAATGGCCTGAAGTTGTGTCAGGGAAGGTTTTGGTTGGATATTAGAAAGAGGGTGTCTGCTGGAACAGGCTCCCCAGGGAAGTGGTCACAGCACTAGAGTTCAAGAAGTGTTTGGATGATACTCTCGGGCACATGGTGTGATTCTTGGGGATGGTTCTGTGCAGGGCTAAGAGTTGGACTCGATGATCCTTTTGGGTCCCCTCCAACCCGGCATATTCTGTGATATTCTGTGAACATTTCTCCCTGTAGCAATACCAGTGGGTTACCAATTTCAACTTGTGCCACTTGGGATTGAAAAAGGTAGAACAAAGTAAACATCAGGGTAAAGGAAAAAAGCTGGCCAGTTTTATCACCAGGACTCTCAGCTCTCTTGACATTGTCTTGCATTGATCTTGCAGATCTAAATATTGTCTTTCATTAGCTCCAGTTTCAAACTCCAACACCTATAGTACCTACTATTTGTCTTCTTAGTAATTTGTCCATAATTTTTCATAATATTTATTTTTAACCTACTATACAATGGCTTTTGTCCACCTCCTTCAAATTCTGTTAAATGTTTATTTTATGTTATCAAATACTGTTTTATTAATACTGCATCATATAAAATCTGTGAGAAGTTGGCGATACTTTAGTGGTTACTCTGCAGTCCACTCTCTCCTACCATAATCTACATTGCCATCAGTATCTAAACAAGTTTAAAGCTATCTCAAATATGTCTACATGTCTAGAAACTGCAGTATAAACTTACTGTTATGCATCAGCATGGATTACATACAACAAATGAAATCTTTCTTTCCTGAGGTAGGTGAATTTGAATGCAAATGGTAAATCCTGAATTTCAGACAAAAAAATGATTGCCTATCAAAACTACTTTCCAAACTAGTCCTTAGAGCATTGCATACATGTAAAGGGGGAAAATGCAAAAGAGCCAGATATTTGCCACAGGCATCCTTAATTCTAACAATATTTCCCACTTGCACATAGAAACACAAGCCTGAAAGATGCAATAATAGCTAAATGGATATTAGTATCTGCAATTACCTGATCTATCTGCACAATTACAGCAGTTTGTGAATGTAAATTTGTGTATGAAATCTGGCTTAAGAGGCTAAACAACCCCTTTTTCCGGAACAACATATCACCTATGTGCTGTTTGGAACTGATGGAATTTTCACTTATAGAAAAACCACAGAAGTAATTGCTTCCAGAGAGATTTCTCTCCCAAACCAAACCGAAGGGGGAATACAAGAGTCAACTCCATTTCTGAAAAATGGGCATTAAGAGGCCAGAGAACTCTTTCAAAAATTAGATTTCCCTCTCCTTTAACAATGCCAGAAACAAAATTTCAAGACTAAAAACATATCAAGACACACCATAGCTGTCAAGTAAGAGTAAACAATCACTGTGTCTTCTCTGAGAAAGTCACAGAGATTCAGTCAAATAGTCTTTTAGTCCTATAAATACTATGAATTTTTAAAGTCATGGGAGTGCTACCAATTTGCATAAGAGGATGATGAGACCATCTTTGAAATGGCATACAGGCCTCTGAATACACCCCTGGAAAAAAAAAAATCACCCTTTATTCTGCCAAAATCGATCATTTCCTCCCCATCCAAAAAGACCAAACAGAAAATCACAGTCAAAGTGATAAAGCAAAATGTCCTACTGGCATAAAATGAATGTAAAATAAATGAATGTAAAGCAGAAATCTTTCATATTTACTGCTGGTAACAGAAATGTTGTCTAGAAGCTTCTTCAGACACTTTCTCATACTTGTAGCATGGGTCAACCCACTACACCGGGTTTCTACAGATGGCAATTCCTTAAGAAGCAAACCTCAGTCTTCTCACAGATTGGAATGAAACATAAACTATGAACTAAAAGGAGAGTTTCCTTGCTGTATTCTCATCTACTCCACAAATTTCATAATGTTTTTCACAAATTTCATATTATATAAGTAATTTTTTTAGATTGTGAAACTACTTTGACATCAAGGGTAGCAGAACTACTCCTAATCACATGCACTTCATTTCATCTTTGCCACAGAGAAATAAGTCAATGAACAGTAAGAAGCAATATACCTGCCTAGAAAAAGAAAATCCAGATTTCATATGTGGACACTCAGAAAAAAATCAGTGAAATAACATATACTACTAGAAAATGTGCCTTTGTAGAAGTGTTATGGTCCTGATGACAGCAAGATCCTGATGACACTGTTGAGATATATTTAAATTACTGTGAGACTTCTACTTGCAATTTACTATGTCAATTTTACCAAAAAATTTCAACATGCAAACTAATATGTTAAAAATGTGTAAAAGAAACAGGTGCAATAAGGCATCATCCATCCATCTACAAGGGTATGTCATAAGAAGTATAAAAACACTTACTTCTTCTTGCTTAGGAATGTTGAACTTGGCTATCTTTGACTTGGGCCTGGCCGAATCAGGCTTGTTGGAAGGCACTCCCCTATATGATTTGGTCGTCTCTGCTGGTAACTTCAGCTTTGGAGACTCATCAGGAGCCTGGTCTTGACCATCCATTGGCCTTACATAAGCCGTTGGTTTCTGCTGACCGAGACTGGGCTTTGAAGCAAGAGAGGGTGGGAAGTTTTGGACGCAGTGCCCACCACCATGCTTTGCTGGCCTCTCTTGTGCTTGAGTTCCTCCTTCTGAGCTACAACTGAGCTTTGCTGGCTGCTGCACTCTACTGATGTTATCTCCTAACGTGGCCCTCAGTGAGCTTTGCTGGGCAGTATTGGAGGAGGAGGAAGAGGAGGAGGAGGAGGAGGAGGAGGAGGAGGAAGTGGAGGAAGAGGAGGTGGGACTTGATGCATAGCGTTTTAGTTTCTCCAGATTGGATTTTTGGTTCGCCAACTTGAAGTCACCCTTGTGTGACTCCAGCGACCGGTGTCCATGTTTGCTCACTCTCTGCTGGCCATCTGAAGCGGCATTACGCCCAGTCTTCTGCCAGCCCATCGTGGTACTTTTGCTCTGCTGGGCAGCTAGGGATGATGGTTTGGAAGAAGTAGTGCTCAAAATGGGAGGAGGAGGTGGCAGTCTTGAGTCTGCAATAAAATGGTCATCAGGCTTGGGGAGAGACGTCTGAGGAACCCCAGGTTTTGGAACCCCAACGAGATGGCTCTGGTTTGATCGGTCAGTTAACAAGTCTTTCATTTCATCATAGTTGCCCAACGTATTCTGGATGCGATTGGAAAGCTCATCCCCCTTGTTAGTCTGCAAAACAAAAATTGAGTGTTCTGCAACAGTCAATGTAAGAAAACAAAGTTCCCTGCATGATTCTGCTGAAATCCTTACTGAAGTAGCACTGCCTTATTCAGCAGTAGCGTTGAGGGATGAAATCGAAAATCCTTATTGTCTCTGAAGACACTTGTCAACATCTTAAATCTACCCTGAACTGGAAAAGCTATAAAGGGCCTTAGAGTATATAAAAAAAGAAATCTATCACTGATATCATGCCGTACTTAAAGTATATTACCTGGAAACTGGAAAATTTATTATTGCAACTACACAGAATGGTTTGGATTAAATCTGACCATGATAAAACTTTTCCTATAGCTCAACGCAAGCTCTCCTTCAGCCATGAATGAAAACACTGCATTCCCAATTTCCTTCTCTGCCTGCCTAAGTTTTCATAACCATCTGGGAAGCCACACAATGTCCCATGCAAGCACTGAACAAATTCATCAATCTAAGCCAGCCAACTGCTATAAGGTGACTTGAAAACAGTTTGTGGGAAATGAGAAAAGTACAGATGATTATGTCCCTTCTTTGAAAATGCTCTGACAGGATGCTCATTCCAGGGCACTCTCTTCTTTTAAAGAAGAAGTAAACAGAACGCCCACCAAGTTTTTCACATTGCTCAGTGTTTGCTGTGAGTAGCAAAGGGAACACAGACACTCTTCCTACCCTTTAAGATTAATTATTGTCTTAAAAATAACCCATTTACTTCCTGACTGAAAAGGCAGAAGCTTCACAAAGAAATAAAACAAGTAAATAAAACATACTGGAAAAGATTGAAGACTCCTGCTTTAAAAAGCCACTGTAAGCAAAAGAGTGTATCATTAGCATTTATGCAGTAGGGATTTTTCTGAACCCTCCAAGATTCAGGCGTGTGATGTCCTTTACTTTACATTTTCAGAGGAAGACAGTAATGAGGTAGTGCAATTCTCCTTTCTCTCTTCTAGACATAGAGTCTGAATGGGAAAACTCCTAGTGGTTTCAGAAGGCCAAGCTTTCATCTTGAGACTCTCTGTTTTAGAGGAAAACAAAAAGAAGGAGAAAGAAGGGAGAAAAAGGGACTGGAGAAGATCCCCCTAAAGTTATGTTAAAAAATACGAAAGATGTAGCGACCACATCAGTTACTCTAGAAAACTGGAATATGTAAGGGAAGGTATGTAAGGCTAACACCCAGTTTGGAACAATGCTTTTTTAAGGTCTCCTAGTAGGAAAGATAAACCCAAGCAAAAACACCCCGTAAATGAGTGTTGTGATTGCCAAATGCAAATTTTCAGAGGACTACAGTGGAAGTATTCTTAAGTCAAACAGTAGAAGCAGTCCTGTTTTGCTTGAAACTTTTGCCCTCAAATTTCAAGGACACTACCTTGTAACTATGTAAAATATATCCCAGCTAGCTTTCTGATATATATTTGTTACTGTGCTAATAGACCTGAATATGTATCAAAAATATATATTGAAGGAGAGTGGGAAGGGAAAAACTCAAAAGTGTTGCATCCAAAACTTTGCTTTTCAAACTTGGAATAAGATGGCTCAACCACTACAGCCTGATCTTCCCTCTGCACATACAGCTGTTACTATCATAAAGACAACAACCTACTATGGAGAGAACTATGAAGCATTAATTCACAGACAGCAAGTGATTTAAAAAAGGGTGTTCCTTACTTCACAGGAATCACATCAATATCCTAAAGAAGAGGAAACTATTAATGGGGCTTCAAAAGTAGGAAGCATCACATACATCTGAAAAGAAAGAAGGTTGGAGATAATGTCTCCTGGAGTCAATAAAATAACTTCTACATTTGGGCATCTCCTTGGCCAGCAGAATTGTTTTCCAGAAGACACAGGGAATTTTCCTTTTTCCCAGGGGGTCTCTTCTATGTTTCCTGTGGATTCTCCACACTGTGCAGATTCCTTGTAGAGAAACATTTTTCCAGCTTCCCTCTATGGAGGGAGATCTGTCCTTGGGCCTGCACTCAGTCTGATTCAGTCAGTGTGTGTATGAGGTTTGTTTCCCTGCCAGAGCATGGCAACAAGGACCACCAAATGGGATGGGGCCCCTGGCACCCACAAGTCTCCTACAGCATGCGTAGCTCATGAGGGCAGTTCTCCAGCCCGATGCTGCTAGCTCCATGAGCATAAAAGAATTTGCGTGCAAGTTTTGCCCCTGAAAAATCCAATTTCCCTAAAAGAAGGGTTTTTTTTTTCTAATGGCTGCTATTTGGATGGGAAGGAAATAAAAGCCTCATTGCAGATTATCTGTAGACTATCACTAGCTCAGAAAAGTCATCAGGTTGCCTTTTATATGGATGTGATGTGAAGGTCACACATAGACATCTTGTATTGAGAGATCTCAGATAACCACAAGAATAATTGCAGCAAACTGGTATCACAGCATGTGTTGACAACTGGTCTGTGCTGTTTATTCCTTCAGGACACACTGGGAATAATGTGAGGTGAGATTTTGTTTGTAGCTGATCTCACAAAGAAGAATTCACCTAAATCCTCTTGGGAACATGATGGGATCTGAGGTAACCTGCTACGAGCTTTAGTTTGTCCTACTATTTGCTCTGAAACGTTGATGGCCTTATTTAAGCATTCACATAAGGAAAAGATGGTCACAAAATGAGTAACTAGGAAAAGCATTTTGTCCAAACATGTCTAACTTAGAGTGCTCTGATATTCTTCTGCAATGCAAGATGAATCCATGCATTTGAAGATGGCAACATCCAGCACTTCTAAAAATAAACTTGATGGCTGCCCAGAAGGCCATCAGAATTTTTTTCCTCATTAAAAATACTTACATGGTTAATGGGGCAAGATATTCTGTCCGGAAAATATCCAGAACTAATTTTCTATTTTTCACATCCCCCTCTAAAAGAGATTTTAAGTAAATGATACTGGATTTCCTGTAATCCTTCATAAAGGGTTGCTATGGATACTTTGAACAGGATAAGGGGCAACCCAAAGAGTCAGGATTTTTGAGAAAATTCGATGTTACAGTAGTAGTGATACATGTCAAGGTGAGAGAGGACATAAGATTTAAGAGATTTCCAGTCTGCCTTTGATTTTCAGATATGGCCTTCTGAATGGCATATCCTTTGGCTTTAACTCATGTTTTTCAAGCTGTGCAGAGGAATACTGAATTTGATCAGAGCTTGCAGTGAATGTCTGCTATAATTTCATTCTCCTTTGGAAACACCCAAAAGCTGAACATCTTTAAATGCACTAAGAATGGGTTTCAGTTTTGCTTTTGCAGAAAGGTTTCCTCTTTTGCAGTTAGCCTCTCTCCACAATAAGATCAAAATGCCCAAGGCACAGCTCTGTCCCCCACACTGAAAGTTCAAAAATGCTTGGATGAGTTCAGACAGCCCAATGGTCCACTGCCAGTGTATACATTGCATTCGGAGAACGTCACTGATGAAGTTTTGATGTCTAATATTACCAGAATGACTGGTCGCCCCAAGCAACTGTGGCTGTCACACCAACAGAGCTGTGAGTTATACTGCTGTCCTGGGCTTTGCCTTTCGTCATGTTTCCTGGACAAAGTTAGCTGTAGGATGTATTTCTGCAGCACCTTCTTTACATGATTGTCCAAAAGAGGGACATAGTGTTTAAAGATAAGAAGCAAGGATGGAGCCATTATTCTGATCACCCTGTAGGATATCCACTCAGTATCCTCTCTGCTTCTAGAGTTGGTAATGATTTTTCAATCATTCCTATTAGAGTTGACAGAATTAAACTGTGGTTGCATAGAGGTGCCTTCAGACATCGTAACTCAGAAACTCTTGGTGTGTCCCTGACATATCACGCCTCTGTCGTGATAGTCAGTACACTAGCCCAGAGGTAATAATCAAAGTGCACAAAATATTCCAACTGTACCACTTTTATAAGTAATTTGAGCTTCAGTATTACCAACCTGAGGCACCACAGACAAAACAGTAGCGAGGACCCAGCAAAAGGCCCAGTCCTTTTTGTGAGTGGTCTATTCAACTGGACCTACCAAGTGGAAAATCATTAGGTCTTCACTGAAACAGAGCCCTCAAGAAATACCTAGTCACAGCTGACTTATGCTTTTCAGGCTCTCTTCCATGGATTAGCCCTTGACTGGTCTCACAGTAGACTTTTTCAAGTAGATCCTTGAGGAGTTCAAGACATTTGCCATGGTTTCTAAATGTCTTTGTAATGAATCTGAAATTTGGGCAGCTGGGTGTCAGCTTCAAGGCAGACAGAGCTGTGTTCCATCAAGGGACATGGTTTGAAAGTGGCAGATTTTTCTTTTTTATTAGGGACTAAATACAAAAAACAATCTGGAAGAAGAGCAAGCTAAAAGCTGACCCTGAAGCACGAGCAGAAAAATAGAAGCATGGAAGTCAAGTGCAGAAGCCAAGTGCCAGGTCCCAAATAGGTCTCGTGGAAAGAGGAACTAAAGCACCCAAAGCATCAAGGACAAGTGATGCTGCATGGAGGGAAAGACTTCACAATGTGGTGGTTGTAACAGTAACTTGGACACTACTGGAAAGGCACACCAGACAATACATGATGATGCTTTGATGCATGCTGTCAAAGTCATTGGTTTGACTGGGGAAGAGAAGCAGCCTCTGTGGGATACTGCTCTCTGGTCCTGTTCACAAGGGCTCTGTTTTCAGCCTTCTGAAAAGTGCAGAAGATCCTGCTTGACCCTTCTAACACAGAGTGAGAAAAGACAGTTGTGCCTCATCAAACTAATGTTACCACGAGAAGCAAAACAGGGAGCTGAGACTCCTAAGCTACTTCTGCCTTTGGTGAGGGCAAAACACATATAGTAGATAAATTTTCTTGGTAATGCTTATAGAAAAAAAAAGAAGCGAACAGCAACATATTTCACTACATTAACCCTGGCCACGGCATAATGCTTACTGTACTGCTTGACCTTCACCCACTATTCTTACACAATTGTTTTCTTCTGAGTGTTGCAGAAACAGGGCACCGTCACCTTCACCTCCTAGCTTTAATTCCATCTCAAATATTGTTAGGGTAATTCTAGTTTATTTTACTCTTGTTGCTGAATACTATAAGAAGTTCTATACATATGCATATATATATATATATATATATATATATATATACACACACACACATAAAATCCGATTCTCAATGAATCATGCATATTCTCTGGGAATTTGGTGGGGAGGGTACTGACACCTGGACAATGCCTTCTGCAGACTGCATTTTTAAACTGTGGAATAAATAAATTAAAAAAGAGTCACACAGCTGGGAAGCATCTACCTTGTATGGTTCACTGAAGAGGGAATAGCTTGTGTTAAATGTGCCATCCTCCTGCTGGGCCTCCTGATTTCTCCTTTCCCATTCTTTCCTTCGCAGCACATTTCTATCTGGCTCATAGACACTGCAACAAAAAAAAGGAGAAATAGTTTTTTAAGAGTTAAAAATTAGACGGCAACATATAAACCAGTGTGCACTTAAAAGTTAAAAACTTTTGCAGACAGATGGCAAAAATAAGCACCAACATGAATCGGATGAATGCCAGTTCAAGTAGGTTGGGGAGGCTCAGGTCTCTGGGAATGCTAGTGCTTTCTTTGCAGAGAATAGATAATTAAATTCTTACAGAAATATAAAAAAGAAATCACAGGGCAGGATCTAGTCTATACAGAACTTCTCTGCTTGAAATGTGATAAAGGAAATATCTAAGCAACTTTGACAAAGACTGAAAGTACTCTTAAGGCAGAGGGTAATTACAGCTATGAGTAAATAGAAATTATGAACATATTTCCACTTATGACATATCCTCTGAGTGTTGCATGCTCCTTTTTTCACATGGATGTGTTTCTGTAGTGATTCTTTCATTAACTAGCTCCCTAAAGAGCTGTTAAAACTATATGCTGTAGTGGTTTCCACAGTTAGGTTGCTTCTTCTGATCTCTGTTAATCAGCCAAGTCGTGAAACTACTACTAAAACAATTCCTCTCTCTGATGGATTTGACACTACCACAACTTCAGAACATGAATAAATGAATACTGGCATGACAGTGCATGTATGGCTGGTAGAGTGTAGCTGGAGAGAGAATAAAATCACTGCATTACACAAAAGAATTAATTTTTAGAAATTAACTACTTTGGCTCCAATACAGACATTCAGAATAATTTTTTTCTTTCACCTCCCCCCCCCCAGATTTCTAGTTTAATGCATGACAACATAAACCAGAGAAGCCACACAGGTTTACACATTTCAGTCTGTTATGTTTTATTCTCTTCACAGAGAAAACCAACGTGTCTAAGAAAGTTTATGTGTTATTTCAGGACAATGTGCCAAGTATGCTGATTGCCTGTTTTGCTTAGCTCAGCTAATGCTTTTCTTCTGGCACTGTAAATCTGTAAAGTAGGAATATGTATTAATGTCATGTAAGTGCACAACGTGTTAATAAGAAAAACATCGTCTTACTAACCAACTTCCCAGTTAGTAAAACATATGTTGCATTGGCTACCCACGTGATGCTACCTAGTATGCCTAAGGCAAGGCAGCCAAAAGGCCAACAGTGATCTGATTCTAATTCAAGACTTGAGGGAGCTGAAAATACATAGGATATGTTAGGCACTATTAGCGTTTAAAAACAATGCCTCAGCAGTCACCAAAGGAACACAAAATCTTGTGTTTGCTTGTTAATGCTGCTAACTCGAACTGGACTGCACAGTACCCTTCTGATGGGTCTGGGGGCAGATGCCAGGCTCCGAGCAGGGCTCTCAGACACAGGGGCTTATTGTAAAGCACAGGGTTTCAGGATAGCAGGTTGGAGACAGCATCTAAATACATATCTGTTTATTCCACTTACAGGTGGTTGAGGTTTTTTTGGGTTTTATACCATATTTTTCATGAGCAATACATGTTATTCGGGCCAACACATTCTCCTTGGAAAGCAGTGTATGAGGCAGTAATTGTAGGGGTGGAATTTTGGAAAATGCCTTCCTCCAGGAAGAAGGAGATAGTGAAGGCCTCCCCATTGGGCCCCTGTGCACGAGATCATCTGCTACACATGCTGCCAAGGCCAGAGGCAGAGCAGTTGTCATTGACTGCTATGGGAGTAAAGATCTTCAGTTACTACATCATGCCACTGAGTATACTCCCATCAGCTAAGTCAGTTAGCAACCGCCTCTGTGTCTAAAGCAGACTTTCTGCCACAATGAATAGCTGTTGTTAGGTTGGGTTTTTCTGGAGTTGCAGGGATCGGGTTATAACTTCATCCTCAGCTACATGACCCCATCTGGAATCTCTTCGCTCTTTGAGATGCTTTGCATTTGGACTTTAGCTTGCAATTAAATAGAGAATCGGCAGTTTCCCTGAGATTAAATATAATACTGGTCTCTACCCAATTTCTAAGAAGTAAGCAAGTGCAGCATTCTTCACTAGGTCTCATACAAATTTAAAAATGCACTGGTGTGATACTCCTGAAATGGAAGGACATTTTTATCCCTTTATTGGATGGAGACATACTTGATGAAGACGTACAAGTCACCAGGTCTCTGAACCCCCTTCTCAAATGAGCTCACTGCTGGCAATGCAATGCACAACCTGCAATAATTCAGAATGATTATGCAAATGGTAGAACTGTGTGACAATGCCTAACATGCCATCTATAAGCAGTAAGTTAGGAAGAGCTACAAGTTGAGAGTTGTGTTCCTTTGGTAATACCAGATGGCAAGATGTCTAGCATTTGTGAGGCTGTTCCTTATTTGCATGAACATTGTAGAAATCACATTTCCTTGAACGTATGTCACCAAATGTATTTATTTGTTTTGGTTCAAGGAGAATACTGCCAACTGCTATAATTGTCTTTATTGCAAACACTTCAGTTAATGGAAAACAGTTCTTTTTAATAGTTTTCGTCTCTATTTTTTTTAATTTGCAATTTAAAACAATCCCAAAGGTACATCTACTTGTTAATCGTTTACAGCATGTCATTTCCACAGCTCAGACATGAAGAACAAGCTTGTGAAAATCTCATGATTTTTTCTTCATGGGGGGATATGCACATATGTGAGTGATATCTACATATATATGTGTAATATCCATGCTTATACATCAGCTTACTGATGAAGAATTTTTTCTAGTATGGGCCAAAATGTTGAAGCAGTTTTGTAAGACTTGGAAACTAAAGAACATGCAAATACTCATCTCTCAGAAGTCACTGTCATTTATATTTGTTTCATACAGGTCAAATTCCAAAAGGGTGAATTTAAATAGTTTTTATATGGTATACCATTAGTTTTAAAATGCTGCATCTGTTTCAAATTCATGCTTAGAGGACACAAACCAAAGCACAGGAAACAAGTCAAATACTTGCAAAAGTTATATATGAATAAAGGTTGTATGATAGAAATTAAACTATCTCAGACTTGGCACACTGCTTTTTTTGATTTATCTCAACCCTAAGATCTGCCAAGGCACACACTGGATTTACCAATTAATTTGGTCTAAATACCAATGTCTCAGTCTCAAAGCACTTTCAGCACACCATCACCGCCACATGGTCACAGTTGTCGTACCTTCTCTGATTTTTCCAGGATACTTTGAGTAATTTCACTCTCAGATATTTGATAAATCAGAATTCCATGGATTTCCAAACTTCTCAGAGTACGTATGTCCAATAAGTTTTGATCTGTTGTGATGCCTTTTGGAAGATCACCTTGATGACTACCCACTCTTTGGCTGTGTGCAAGGTGAGCAGCCTGAAGAGAAGAGCCTAGGCATGCTGGTGCCTGATGGGAGAGTGGTAGTGACACAAGTCTCCCCACAGAAATACTCACAGCCTTCTTCACGCTACTCCTGACATCAGAAGGAACCATTTCCTTTAGTCCTTAATTAGAAATAGAGATGGCTCAGGGGACAGCCTAGGAGCAGAGCAATAATTTTACCTGAAAAACCTGCAGCTGGATTTAATCTCCTACAAAGTCCAAAGAGTTATGTTGCCTCAGGCTAGGCTGAAAGTAATCATATAAAAAGTCTAAAGTTTTAAATGTTGAAAAATCTCCTTTTCTTTCTTTCTTTCCTTTCTATTTTTTTTTAAAGCACACTATTTCTGACTCTATTTACCTCCCTCAGACATCACTTCTTGGAGCAGCTCAAATAAAAAGGTCTAATCTCCATAATGAACTGGGTGGAGACAGCGCACCAATGTATCCTACTGTCCTTCTGTTTTAGGGAATGCCCAAATTTGCATTCAGAGGAAGACATCCTTTCCCACAAATGAAAGCACTGCACCTTCACTGAGGAATTACACGCCTTTGCAGGCGTATGGTGTGTATTAACGATGCTGCCTGACCTTTTCAGAAACCACAAAATTGCTGCATCACTAAGGAGAGATTCAGGAAGGGTAGTGTTATTTTGTTACAAGATCACTATCCTTATAACAGCTGGCATCTTTGAGGCTGTTAAAGACATGGGTAGGTAAATTGAAACTGAGATTGCTGGTACTCCCCTTGCCTGGCATCAGTTTATTTTCTGGCTGTGGGGGGCTGTGACCCAGGCAGCCCTACCAGCATGACAGAGGATGGTGTTACCACATGTATATGCAGACCTGGCTGCAGTTTCTGAACTTATCATTTACAGCAACATGAAATCTCGCCTTTGCCTTTCCAGACCTTCCAATATAATTTTCCAGTCCAAAGATTTAGTTCATTATTTCTGAATTGTGAGTATTTTGCTATACCCACATACACACTCACCTTCCTTCTACCCCCCCCCCCCAAATATTGTGATATAAATTTAGCTGGTGTAGCTTGTTTATTTGCAGTTAATGTTTACCCAGGAGACTGATGTCCTTCACCCCAGCAGCTACCCATGGCACTTAGTATGTCTAGACTTCAGGTTCTGAAAGTTTTATTCTAATTACAAAAGCAGAGTTGATGCTTCACCATTCAACTATTTCTTAAACTGGCAAACCCACAGTTCCTGCGGGCTCCTGGCAGATCTTTGCTAGCGAAGACATGGTTCCCAGGACTGAGCCTCTCTACCGGATTTTATCAACCTCCCCATTTGTTCCTAAACTGACCCTTCTTCTTCTGTAATCACATTTAAAGGCTCCATCAAAATGCCATGAGACTACAACACTCACTCCCAGGGTCATGGGAACGACATCATCCCCAACCTGCCAGGTGCAGTCCCTGAATATCCCCCGGGACCGTACAGTGCTGATCTTGTTCCAAACAAACAAACAAAAATCCATCCCAGAAACACAACTCATACCATAAGTGACTAAAAGATATGTGCACTTCAAGAACAAACCAGACCTGTGAACAAGTTTTCTGCAAGGACACATACATCTTTGAAATTAAACTTTAGCACACAGTCATTTTTGAATTATGAACAAAGTTGGAACTGCTTCAAAGCCATGGA